GGCGGCGCCTGGGCGGAGAGGCGGCGAGGCTGCCCGGGGCGCGCGCTTGGGGTGGGCGGCTCGAATCCCGGCGCCCACCCTGGCGGCCCGGGCCGAGACGGGCGACTGCCGGGGGCCGACTTTCTTTAAGAAAGTTACAACTTTGAATTTTATGTTTTCGCTTCTGTCTCGTGTTTTCTGGGAACACAGTTTGGAATCTTGCCGCGATGGGCGGACATTGAGGCCAAAACCCCACAGATTGTCTCTCCATCCCGGTTGAATTTTAGTCCGCTTCCCCCGCTTTTCCCCTTGGGGTTCCTCATAATTTGGAAGTGACCAGATCTTTTGTGGGGTGGACACCCTCTGGTTGCTTGTCTGTTTATTTTTTCATGTGAAGCTAATTTGAGTTTAATTTCCCCCTGTTACCAGGCCTTGCTAAGGAAAGCAAAGGGAGAAGGCATCAGCCGCCCCCCGCCCCAGAGCCCCGCAGTCTTTTATTTTTTTTTTAATGTCGAGCTAGGTGGGGCTTTGGGAATGGGGCTGGAAAAAGGAGGGTACAGTGGTTGTGGGCAGACAGACCCGGAAGAAAAGGAATCTGCTCTGGAATAACACTTTTTTTTTTTTTTGAGGCTTCAGGCCTTGGGCAGAATTGCACCGCTGGGTTCACATCTCTCTGCCGCTGGAGTAATGCTTTTCATCAAGGGCTCTGACTCCTGGGGCACCCGTAGTGCATAGCAGTCTTTGGCCCCGGGTTTGTGCCTTTTTTAGGGGGAAAGTGGGGTCCTTGATTTTTCCACCTCGGTGAAAGTTCTGGGGACCTTGCATTCTGGACATTTCTGGGCTCCTTGGGAGGGACTGTTAATGAGGGTTAAGCTCTGCAAGGGGACCTCGCCCACAAGGGTGTAATTCTCACTTTGTTTAAATACCAGAGGGGCGCATACAGGTTGGCTGAGAGTGAGGCATATCTGATTAAAAAAAAAAAATCTGTCATTAAACTATTGTATTAAACTAGTATGTACTTTAAAAGTATGTTTGTTGGTTTTAGATGCTGTTGAGAGAGGGGACAAAAAATCATCTCTAAAGATACAGTGTTCATTTTAAAAAGATGTTAAAACTGCAAGTTATCGCAGAATAGGGGGTTGTAGCTTCTAATTACAGTATATACAATTTCAGAAAGAATTTCCAGTAACCTTTTAAGACAGATTTTATAAATAGCTCCCAGCAGAGTGGAGAGCCCGTCCTCTGGGCTTTCCGGAAGAATGCTTAGGGTCTGGTAGGACTCTGGGAGCCTAGGTGGTGGTTTACTGGAAAAGGGATTTGTGTTCCTTCTTGCTCACTGGTGGGCTTACTGTCATGGCATCTGGTTAGAGGCCTGAGGGGTTAACTCGACCTTCTTAACACTTTCAGAGGTAAATGAGACCCAGGGAGCAGAGGTTTGTTCAAGGACAACGTCATCTGCAAAGTCTGACAGACACTGGTTACTTTCTACTTGATTTGTCACAGTGACCCTGCAGGACACAATGGGACTGTCCTATAAGAGTTTTGAATTTTTTTTTTTTTAAATCATGGGAAGGAGCCCTGGTGGAGCAGGGGTTAAGCACTAGACCAGTCACTGGTTCTGACTCCCCCACCCCTCCCAGCCGGTGAACCAGAGAATGGTGTCTGCACCCCTCAAGACAATAAACATACAAAACCCCCAAAACCCTAAACCCAGTTGTCAGTGTTCCAGTAGTAACTTTAGGACAGAGTAGAACTGCTTCCATCGAGTTTCCAAGGCTATAAATCTTTACCCAGGAACTGTCACATCTTTCAACCTAAGAGCAGCTTGGTAGGTTCCAACTACTGGCCTAGCAATTGGGAACTGTGCCGCCAATATAGGATTGTATTGATAGGGATACATTTAGTTGGCTATCTAATATGTGATAAAAGCATTATGTCTTGGGCTTTTTTTTATGCCTTTTTTGGAAAGAAAATTCTCAGCAGTCTTTTACGTGACTTAATAGACACATAATACATAGAAGGATAGTCATCCTAATGTCACGTGCCTCCTTACTTACCTCACTGTCCGATAGAAATGTCTTTGGTGATGGGAATTTCTTGGAGATGAGCGTGAGTGCTGTCCAGGAAAGAGTGCTGATGGCAAAGTGGTTAACAAATTCAGCTCCTAACCAAAAGGTTGGTGGTTTGACTCTCCTAGCCACAGAAGATGAGACTTCCTGACACGCTACAGTCTTGAAAACCCTACAGGGCGGGTCTGCTGTGCTACAGGGTCCTGATAATGAGTCAGGATTTGAACTCACGGCAGTTGGTCTTCGAGTGCTGTCTGGTCGATGAACCACACAGGGCTCTTGGACTCTTTGAAATGTGGCTAGTGTGACTGGGGAACTGTATTTAAAATTGTCCTTTCAGTTGTTTTAAATTTTATTTGTTCTCTTGTGATTCAGACTCATTGCTGTTGAGTTGTAACTTGCAAGTAGTGGGTCTCAAGTTCGCGTGCACAGGAAACTATTCTAATTGCCACAGTCATTCATGTTCCCTGGGTCATGTTGCATTTAGTGGTTATAAGCTCATGGTTGCTAACGGAAAGATGAGTAGTTCAGACTCACTCAACTCGCCGGCTTCTCCTTCCTCTCCACTGGGCAAAAGATGTGTTAGTGTTTTTACATACAGGGTAAAGCTACTACTGTGGGGTGGGTTCTCAAGCCTAGCTACCCTCCATCGAGTTTTGAGGCCCCTGATATTCTTTACTGGAGGAGACTGCAAATGCCCCATTTTTCTTCTCTGAAGCCACTGGTGTATTCAAACTATCCACCTTTAGCTTTGCAACTGGACTATATTCAAGCCACCAGAGCTTCGTTCCCCATAAAGAGTAGAGCCTGGGGAATGCTGTGGGGTATTTCCCCTCTGCCTAGGAGTCGGAATTCACTTTATGGCAATGGAAGAGGCTTAGCTCTGTCTCTTAATGGAATGTAAATGCGTAAGTTCTGTAAATGCCATAGCTCAACTTTGCTTTCACAAATTGAGTGGATAAAATAAGCACATTAGGGGATCTCTGCTGGCCCAGTGGCAAGAAGCTGCACTGCAATCCCTGAGGTACGTGGTTCAAATCCACCAGATGCTCTGCTGGAGAAGGAGGGGCTATCTCCTCCTGTACCAGTCAGATCCGATTTGGTGGTACACAGACACAAAAGTAATACAATAATTTAAAAAATAAGCACATTAGTTTTAAAAATGCTGATATGTCCAAGACAGATTAATCACAAGTGAACAGATGAAATTTAACTGATGGGCAGAAAATTTTTTGCCTTTCTCTTGTTTAGTTGAAAGAATTTATAGGAAATGCTGAAGAAAAAAGTGGAGCTTTGGCAATAAGGAGACAGTATGAAAAGTCACTAGTACTGCTAGGTGACGTCTCTTGTTTTTGTTGTTATGATATGCCGTTGAGTTGCCTGTGACCCATTTAGCGACCCTGTGTACAACGGCTCTGAAGTCTACCCTATCCTAAGCCAGTCGCATTGAGTTCAGCACACCTATCTTATTGCCCCAGTTAATCTATCACTTCCATCTCATCTGGAGTCTTTCTTTCCTGTGCTGTCCCTCCACCCTTCCACGCATAATGTCCTTCTCTCCGAGGACTGGTCCCTTCTGGCCACGTGCCCAAAGGATGTGAGATGGAGCTTCAAAACCCTAGCCTCCAGTGTAAAACTTGATTTCACCCTCTTCAGAAGAGACCTATTTATTCTTCTGCTGGTCCACATTGTGTTTGGTGCACTTCTCCAGCACCACAACGAAAAGGCATCAATTCTTCAGTCATTCTTCATCAGTTAAGGTGACATGTAGTCATCCTGAGGTGACATCTAGTCAGCTCCAATTGTAGCTACCGTGTAT